TACAGCATCAACAAAATCACACTGAAAGATCTCCTGTTTCCTAGCTACTTCCACACACATGTGGACATACGTGTTACCATGAGTGAAGCAATCTGAATCATTTCTGTGACTCTTGCACAAGCATAACTGATTAGAAAGTTACACGAGCAGCTTCAAATTTAGGGAAGAGGCCAGATGGAAGAAATGAATAATGGAATATATAGAATAAGACTAAAAAACAAGTTTTCTTCACATACATCGTAACACTGGCCATCTCTGTGCTCTGACTTCCTCTACACAAATACACATTGCACAATTTCCATCACTTGCAAGAAACAAAAGGTCAGAACTAGCTTTCCTAATACCTTCTGCCAGTTTATACTGTCTTTTAGTGCTATGTTAACAATGAATCTTGCTGAACATTTAAAACAAGCTCTATCTTCACAATTTATCCCTAACACAGCTTTTCAAACCTAAAGAACAAGAAACATCCACCTCTCTTCTGCAGAGGCCTTGCTGTTGATTACTATTGGTGCCTCTTTGTACCTTGCCCTTCCTTAGCCAACCATCAATTCTTCCTTTGATTTTTGACCCTCCTTCTGATAGTAAGTATTACTGGAAGATTTTTCCTACCATAGCAGGAAAAAACATTCAAAGAAGTACAAGCACCAAACTACTCATCAAAGAAATAATCCTTTAAATAGCTATTCACTGCTATAAGTCAGCTCTCAGCCATGAAATTAGAACGTGGAGTGTCACAGCATATTAAGAAGCAATTAAATATTCTTTATATTGATGTCCACTTTATAGTCTGTCTACAACAATAAAAGAATCCTGAATGGCACAGCTTCAAGCCAAAAAGGGTAGTTCCATTATCAAAAACCTGTTCCACACGAAAATTAATAAAAATGTTTATGTTTTCACAGACTGTATATATGTGATTGAAAGCAAGTCTCCTTTAAATAGGAATGCTTGCAAGTTTTAGGCTACACATATTTCTATTTGTCCCATAACTGGAACACCTACTCTAGAAGAAGGTTGCAGGAAAGAAAAAAACAATGTTAAAGCCAGAGTTCCCTAAATTTACTAATGAAGACTTCACATTAATAAAGGGCAAAGACTTTAGTACAAAATCAGTAGTGATCTCTCATTTCAGTGATGTGATTTTACATTGCTTGTAAAAACAACAAAAAAAATTTGCACATTATGTATCAGATAGTGATTTCTATCCAATATTCCTCACAACATTTGGTAAAGTTGACTACAGAATCCTGTAACAGAAACAGATCTAGAAATATTTTTAAGGAATTATCACCTTAATAGCTAACAATCAACTGAGTACCAAACTGAAAAAAAAATCTGTATATTCAAAGACAGTACAGACATTAATTCCTGTGGATAACTTCTGACATAGGTGTAAGCAATTCTCTTATGTCCCAGCAACCACTTCCATAAGGCAGTAAGTTTAAAAAGAACTTCAACTATAGCCCAGTTTGGATGGTTTTGCAGTCTCTCTCAGAGAGACTGGATTAAAAAACATTAAAAACATTTAAAAAAACCCAAGAACAAACTAAAGGGAACTAAGCTTCACCATACTCCATCAAAAGCATTTCCAAAAAGAGAGAAAGGAAATTCCAACAACGGAAAATAAAATACATTTAAAGTACCATCTACATGGAAAGCAAGAGTCCCATCTTGCGTAACAACCTTTTCAAGACTACACTTGTATTCCCATCATGCCATCTCCTTTACTTTCCTTCTTCTTTTTTTCACAGCACAGACAAGCAATCACTAAGTTTTACTACCAAATCCAAGCAATCTCAGCCGCCAGATCTCCGCAAGGGACGACCATTCCTCGCAAAGCTCGAATGAATGAAAGCTTGAACAGCACAGCACAAACGCCAGGGGAAGGATCCGCGGATTACAGGAGATTAGGGAGGTTGCAGAGGGGGTATCTGACTCGCGGCGCATCCCGGCCAAAAACAAGCACTCGGTTCTGCGTGCCGGACCGACGGCCCGACCCGAAGTCGCCGGGTGTCGCCGCACCACACCGGGACACCGACGGGTCTCTCGAGGCAGCCCAAGCACTGGAAATGCAGGCCCCGCCGAGAGCCGGCCCGGCCCCGCAGGCCGCCTGCACCGGCCGGGCCGCGGGAGATGCGGATGCGGCCGCTGCCGCCCGGGCGCGTTCCGGGGAGCCCCGGGGCTCTGCAGAGCCTCCGGCGGCGCGCAGCACCGTGGGCCCGACGCGTCACCCGGCCGGGCGCCACCGGGCCTCGGCGGAGGAGGAAGCGGCAGCGGCGGCAGAGCCTCGGGTCCGGGCCGCCGAGCGCGGTGCCGCCCACCCGCTCGCCCGCCGGCCCGCCCGCAGCGGGCACCGCACGGCCCCGCCGGTGGGCCCGGCCACCCGGAGCCCCCTCAGGCCTCACTCACCACCGCTGCCGCCGCCACTGCCGGGCCCACTTCCGGCTCCCGCCCCGCCGCTCCCCGCCCGCCGCTGCCACGTCCGCGCTCCGCCCGCCGGGGCCCGGATGCGGCGCAGGCGCTGGGAGGCCCCGCCGGTGACGTCCCGCTGGGGCGGGAGGCGGCTGCGGGAAGCGCCGCGGGGCTGCTGCTCGCGCAGCCCGAGCCAGCGCTGTCCGCACGGGCAGCTGCGGAGCCGCGGCCGACATTGAGCACTGTGCCCTGGGCCGCCTGTCCCACCAGCGGCCTGTGCAAGACCTCGACAGGCGAGCAGCCAGGGCCAGTTCTGCACCAAAGTGCAAAGAGTTGTTCACTCCCTACTAACAGCGGAGTGATCATCCCTCCGTATTGGGCACTGGTGAGGTCACACCTCAAGTACTGCCTTTAGTACCCCCTATTGGCCCCATCACTTCAGAAAGGGCATTGAGGTGCTGGAAAGTGTCTAGAGAAGGGTAACGAGGCTCGTGGAAGGTCTAGAAGACTTGTCTTACAGAAATGAGTGAGGAACCTGGGATTATTTCGTCTCAAGAAGAGGAGGCTCGTGGGAGATCTCATTGCCCTCTACAACTGCCTGAAAGGAGCTTGCAGTGAAGTGGGGACTGGTTTCTTCCGTGGCTAGAGAGGACAAGAGGAAATGGCCTAAAGCTGAGACAGGGGAGACTCAGATTAGATACTAGAAACATTTTCACTGTTAGAGTTGTCAGGCATTGGAATAGTTTGCCCAGGAATGTGGTGGAGTCACCACCCCGGAGGCATCAGGATCTGATGCTGAGTGATGTGGTTTAGGGGTTACAGTGGTACTGCTGGGTGGATGGTTTGACTCGATGATCTCAGAGGTCTCTTCCAACCTTGATGATTCTGTAATTGTGTTGTTGTGTGCCCACCAGCAATATGCAATGGCACTGAATGAGTGGTGGTATAGTACTGGCAACGGAGTAGTCAACCAAGCAATGGCATCACAGCAAAAGTACATCCTCTGGATGTTACAATATAAGGCTATTAGTCACTGAGAGCTAAGCACATGCAGAATAAGGAAGAGGTAAGGGTAAGCTTGTCCTCAGGAACTTAAAATTATGTTTTAAGCCTCGTAGGAAAGGAGGAACATGGACTTTAATTCTTCTATAACTCCCTGACTTGGGATGGCTAGGAGGTCTTGTCTGTCATGGTCCTAAAGAAAAAACACTGAAAGACTCTGCTTGACTCTTGAGACCATATCTAGAGAGCTGTGTCCAGCTCTGAGGTCCTCGGCACAGGAAGGACATAAACCCATTGGAACAGGTCCGGAGGGAGGCCAAGAAAATGGTCAGAGGGATGAAGGCTTCTCTTACTAAGAAAGGCTGAGACAGTTGGGGTTGCTCAGCCTGAAGAAGGTTTTGTGGAGACCTTATTGTGCTCTTTCAGTACTCAAAGGAGGCTTTTAAGAAAGCTGGAGACAGACTTTTTTGTAGGGCTTATAGTTACAAGACATGGGGTAATGGTTTTAAATGAAAAGAGGGTAGATTTAGACCAGATATAAGGAAAAAAATTCTGCTATGAGGTTGGTGAAGCACTGTAACAGGGTGTGCAGAGTGGTGACAGATGCCCCATCCCTGGAAACACTCAAGGTCACGTTGAACAGGGCTTTGAGCAATCTGATATAGTTGAAAATGTCCCTGCTCATTGCAGGTGGTTTGGGCTAGAAGATCCTTAAAAGTTCCTTCCAACCCAAACTACTCTATGGTTCTATGACGTGGTTGGGCTCTCTTGGCCGTTGAGTCTATGTAAGCAGTGCCCTGCAGAGAACTGTTTGAATCCTGTGTGTGTAGCTAATCCCAGCTATTCTGGTCCTAGTGTCTAGTATTACGAGTGGGTGTAGGGGATGTCAGGGAGCAGCATGCTGCAGAGGGAGCACAGTACATCTACAGTCTGCCTGTGGCTTTCACGACAGGCATAGTGCTGCTGCATAATAACACTACCTGCATGGGGAAAATAGAAATGGAGAGCACATTATTTCAAGCTGGTTTTGTTCAATTCATAGGGTCAGGTGCTATCACCTGATTTGTACAAGTTTGTGCTTGTGATATGTCCTTGCCTGAAACTCATACTAATGGATCCTGAGTACTGAGTGACTCTGAGACTTGCATTTGGAATGCAAAGTGGAAATAAAATTTTTACTGAAATGCTTCCAGCTTTTAGAGTGTCAGACAAAGCTCTGGAGAGACAGGAGGTGTGCTATTTTCAGCCACGTTCCGGTGAGAGATCCATCGTGTATGCGGGGGGGCACAGAGGGTGAGATTGACATGACACGTGTGTAGGACAACTCTGGCCCCTTACCAAGGGCAGAATCAAATGTCTAATCATAGGCAGAGCAGCAGCTGAGAGTCCAGAAGAGCAGTGAAGGCTGGGCTTGACAGTCTCAACTCGTGTGTGTGAACTTTAAGGAGAAAGTGAACAGAGGGCCTTGTAGGGACTGGAGAGTGTTGGTGTGAATTGTGAATATGGGAATAGAAGATTCTGCCTGTTAAGAACTGGAGTCTGTACTGAAGTTGTGAAGACAAAATATATAAAGCACAGAAATCATGGGAGCTGAAGAAGAAATGCTCATCACTCTGTCCGGAGGTGCCCCCTGGGGCTTCCGCCTGCAAGGGGGTTCAGAGCAGAAAAGACCCCTTCAAGTGTCAAAGGTAGGACCTTGAGGTGTGAACTGTGAGAGCAAAGTTGTTCTGTGAACTAAGATCTCCCTACTGAGTCGGGCATCTGTCATTACTGTTAAGGAATACGGGAACTCCTTACTGCGGCAGCAGATCTTGAAAGGAAAGCTTGGGTGGTTGCTCAAGCAGGGTGTGAGGTGGGCTGTGGGTCCTGGAATAGATGCTATTGAGGTAGAGACAAGTGTCAGGTGAAGATCTGCTTCAGTGCAGGTCTGTACAGCTCAGACACTTTGTAGGCTGTATAACCCTCCCGAGCTGTCAGCAGAGCTATAACCATAGTGACAGTGCAGGGAAAAGGGCTCAAATATGGAAACGTCAATACCCATGGAAGACATCTAACTGAAGAAAAAAATAAATTGAAGCAGTAAAAGCCATATTTTTAATTCAGCTGTCCCTAACGCTTCATTATTGTATTCCAACTTTCAAAATAGATGCACATTTCTTTTCTGTTGGTGAAAGTTTTTCAACACTGTCTGAAGCAAATATTTGGGGTGCTCTAAGCAGCAAACACTGGTTTAATTTCCAGAATTAAAGAAAAACAGTTGTTTGGATGGGAGATAAAAAATGGAATAAACATGAACCTTGTGTTGCTACTTTTGATAAACAGCTGTTACTGTTGTCTTTTCAGAAAGACTACTGAATAGATTGAAAACTAGGGGAAAAAAGGTCCTCTTTATTAAGCTCATAACAGCTGCATTAGCCTTGACACGATGATATCTTGGGATATCTCACTGGAAGGCACCCAGCAGCAGAAATGAAAAAATGCTCTGCCCAGGTCCTTCTGTTTCCTTAAGCAGACCATGCCTCTGACAGCATTTTGAAATTCAATGTTTTGTGTCACTTGGCTCTCCCCAGGTCACGGAGTGTTTGTTAGTAACTTCTGCCAAATGGTTTGGAATACCATAGCTTGGCCTTGAAGTGAATGTTTCTTATGTAGAGAAAGCTGATTTTTCTCCAGAAAAATAACTTCTGTACCAACTCATAGAGTTTCAGGTGTTTAAGAGACAGAATATCTTTGAAACAGGTGTCTGGCATCAGTTCTTAGGAAAATGGAATTTTCAGGGGCTACATTAACTCTGCATGGTCTAAGATTATTTTGATTCTTGTTTTTCCCTCAGTAGACAAGAAACTGGGACTGAAGAGGGAGGAGATTGTGAATGTCTATAAGGATTATTCAGGATTGAACAGCAGCAAGACCTAGTCATTACCCAAGCTAAGTTGCACCTTAAGGTGAATGGAATATTGCTCGAGGATTAGTAGCACTTGCAGGAAGGTATTAACTAGAAGCAGCTCTCACCCAGAACTGGGTGCTGTACTTTAAGTCTAGCAATACAAATATATATAATTTTACAATACTTGGATATTGCATTAAAAATAATTAAAATATAATTTATACAAATCCATTTCAGGCTTAAAGTATACATCACTCTTTAGGCAGGATTTTTATTTTATAATTACCTTTTTTTCTATTAGCACCCAGAATTTAATAGCATCCAGTGACCCTACATAATGTCTTAAAGGCAACACCATTTAAATAGTCTCCAAAGAATGGATTTTAGGTCCTTACCAGGTGCCCAGGAGGATCATATCTGAACGTAACCTGCTTAGAAGAGAATAAACTGCCAGGTGTCATGTGATAGAACATACAGACATGAATAGCTGATAGGTGCCAGGAGATAACTGAGTGGATGCTGTTTGCGTCTCAGGGATTCCAGGGCTGTCATTCTTGACAATTTCAATTTCTAGGCTAGAAAAATCATAGTAGTAGCACTAAGGAAAGATGCTAACCTTTGGATGCTGAGTTGAATTATGAATAAGTGATAAAAAATTAATTTAGGAAATTAATCAAGTATAACAAACACATGATATATAAATTATACATGTTGTACTTTGGTAGAGATGGTGGAATTGTTAAGCCAGACTAGGTTAAGAGTCACTTCTTGCCCTGCTTCTTTAATCCTTTGTGTTTCCTGCAAGTATTTCAGAGGAAGCTGTAAGTTTCACCAATGCATCTGATTTTTGCGTAATGAAATATGGAGGGAAATCCTTTCCCTTCAGGTAGTTATCAGCATGTCCTAGGAAGTATCTAAGAATTGGTAGTCCTAGTGGTTTACCCTATAAATAAACAGAAAATTGTTTCTGAACAACTAGTACCTTACCTGTTGAAGTATTACATTATTTCCTAATGAAGATTTGGTAACACCAAGCAAGCAGGCATTCCAAAGACTAACTGCTGCACTAAGTGGGATTTCCTGCTTGAGTTGCTCTTGTTGTATTACAAAGCCCTTCACAATTCCTCATCTTACATGATCAGTGTACAGTTCATAATCTTCTTGCCTTTATGCTTTCTAAAGTTTATATCACCATCATCTTTTTATTGTTTCTCTTTATGGAGATTATGATAAAATTAATCACTGATTGCTGTTCTTGGTATCTTTTTTCTGTTTTCCTGAGAATTCTTTTGGTGTGCTGTATGGTTCCTTTCCTTTCCTTTCCTTTCCTTTCCTTTCCTTTCCTTTCCTTTCCTTTCCTTTCCTTTCCTTTCCTTTCCTTTCCTTTCCTTTC